ACAAAAAAAAAAGATTAATTTCCTACGGTGCTTAATCCACTGGTTTTGTGATGACCAGCTGATGGGGAGTCCAATGAGTGTTGCTCGTGAGAATATATCTTAAAGAGCTTTCTTTGAGATAATTTCTCACCCCAGCTACACTCGTTCGGTCAGGCCTTGATGTTTGCGCAGCTGCACACACACTTAAGCACTTATTTAAAATTTTTATAATTTTTTATTTTTTATTTATTTTTATTTTTTTTTCCACTAAATTGATGTGATCCCGGTACTTTCGCCGCGTACCAGCACACCGCAAATTAAAACAAATCGCGCCTGACTTGAATATACGTGGCGAATCTCAAAGGTTTACATTTTCGTGCAGCTTACTGTTTTAGGACTTTATATCTTGCTCCCGCGATGGGCCACTTGGTGGAGGCCTTGCTCTAAGTTTGTTGCTCCCGCGGTGGGCCACTTGGTGGGGGCCTTGCTGTATGTTTATTGCTCCCGCGGTGGGCCACTTGGTGGGGGCCTTGCTGTATGTATAACTCCCGCGTTTGGCCACTTGCTGGGGGCCTTGCTGTGTGTTTTGCTCCCGCGGTGGGCCACTTGAGCGTGTTGCTATTGCTGCTAGTTGCTGCTGATGACGTTTGGTCCTGGTCCGGTCCTGCGAACGAGACTCAGATACAAATTTAATATAAAATTTTATTTATTTTTGCTCAGCACCCTGCTAATCAGGGACTTTCACCGCACTTGCACTGCCCTGCTAACCTGGACCTTCACTTGCAAGGGGTTTTCTTGCGAATTCGCTCAGTGCCCTGCTAATCAGGGACTTTTACTGCACCTGCACTGCCCTGCTAATCAGGACATTCACTTGCAAGCGGATTTTTTGCATTTATCGCTCACTGCCCTGCTAATCAGAGACTTTCACTGCACTTGCGCTACCCTGCTAATCAGGACTTTCACTTGCAATCGGATTTTTTGCGTTTATCGCTCACTGCCCTGCTAATCAGGGACTTTCACTGCACTTGCACTGCCCTGTTAATCAGGACTTTCACTTGCAAACGGATTTTTGCGTTTATCGCTCACTGCCCTGCCAATCAGGGACTTTCACTGCACTTGCACTGCCCTGCTAATCAGGGACTTGCACTTTTTCAGAAATTTTCTCGTATTGCGCTCGTTTCCCCTGCTTTTTAGGGTCATTTACCGCACTTTCACTGCCCTGCTAATCAGGGACTTGCACTTTTTCAGAAATTTTCTCGTATTGCGCTCGTTGCCCTGCTTTTTAGGGTCTTTTACCGCACTTTCACTGCCCTGCTGTCAGGGACTTTCATTTATTTAAGCACTTTTTCGTGTCTTTTAATTTTTACTTGCACTACTATATATATATATATATATATATATATATATATACATATATATATTAGGAACGTTGGCCGTTGAAGTAGAGTAGCGGGATTTTACCGCTTGCTAGCTGAGTTCCGCTACTCAGCGAATATGTGGTCCGGACCACGTTTGGACCACGCTTTTCAGTGCCTCCTTTACACGCTAATTTGAGGTTAAGCTTATAGGGAACTTACATGAGGCGATTTCACAGGAACCTTTTAGTTGAATGGTGCAGTTGCCTGGCCTTTCACTGAAAACGGGTCAGCTACCTTCTTTCGTTCAACTTTTTTGATTCAACCATTCGCCTGTGAAAGTTGAATCATGCAAATTCCCTATTATTTTCACTCACCTGGTTATATTTTGCGAGTGCACCTTTTTGCCGCTTCCAGCGTTCCAAAGGGGACTCACCTCGCTCCAAATTTGCCGGAACCAGTTCCTTTTGTGGATTTTTTTAATTTTTTCCTCCTCGGTGTCGGTTTGCTGGCACAAGTTGTTTTGGTTTTTTGTTTGCAAATGGCCGTCTGCGTGAAATGTCACATTCAGCTTCTTTCATGCCGGCTCATTCACAATAGTGTGCGCTAATAAAACTTTACCAATGGGACTTGACGAGAGTTTTTTTTTTAAGTAAATTCAGCTGAGACATGATTATCTTAAAAATCCGGCTCGAAGAACCATGTTCGAGCGTGGCAATTTAGGGGCCGAAAACCCTCGTGATTTCGGCAACGGGGATCAATGGGGGAGCCAGTTCTTTAAGACAATCTATTTAATTAAGTATCAACTAGTGCCCTAGTCTCCAAAGGTATAAAATATGATTTTTATACAGTATATAATATTTACACTTTTATTGAGATAAGGTTGTATTGTCCAAAACAAATGACTCACCTGAGGTATCGCTGGCTGTCGAATCAGAAAATAGAAGGAGACTATAGTGACTTGCCGCATTTATAGGCTCCACAGGAGTTGGAATCTGGCAACGGGATCGACTAACAGCACTCGTGCCAAAAGGGAGATAACGTATCGAGTCCTGTCGGTGAGATTTGTATGTTAAGCTTAAGCTTAAAATGCAGGCCTAAACTATTATATTCAACAATTTTATTGAGCTAGAGGCCGTTTTTTTAATGAAAACTATTGTGGAAAAATTAACAGTAATTTATAAATGGTAGAACTGATAGCTATTTCGGAAATCACCACATTTCCTCATCAGACTTCTTCAGCGGGATTCGAACCGACGACCCCAGCTGACTCAGCCAGTTGCCTACGCACTGTGCTAAGTTCACCTTATAAACTTCTGTTGCTTTTACCACTTTTTCATGTAAACCAACTACAATCAAGCGCAGCTATTCCGCTGCAATTCACACTTGATCTAGTGGTTGTTGGTTTGGTTGGTTTTCGTTATTAATTCTATTTTTAGAATATTTAACTTTTAGGTGTGCTCGTCCTTCAGTTTTTGGTTTGTTTGTTATTTTTGGCCCTATAACATTTATATTCAATAATTTTATTGAGCGTTAGGTATTTTTTTAATGAAAACTATTGTGGAAAAATTAACAATAATTTATAAATGGTAGAAGTAGACCACATTTCCTCATCAGACTTCTTCAGCGGGATTCGAACCGACGACCCACAGTGTTTCGACTATATGGAGGCAGGTAGAGAAAAGTCATGGTGACAGTTGATTAAAAACCCAGTTGGACCATGAGAGGGAAAAGTAAAAGTCATAAATACCAAATTTTACATTATTTACTCACCACCCTTCTTATTTCTTAATTCTTGATTTTCAGCTTCTTTTTGCATAATTTCGCGAAAAGAATTTTTCGAACAATAAAAAAATCCCACCAAATATTGGGAAAAAAGAGTATATACACTTAAGTCATTTAATCTTATAACCTATGTTTTCTGAGAGTGAAAAGCAGGAAAAAAATAACCAAAATTCCATCACATTTGGCTACTGGGCCCACATTTTTTGTGAGTTTTGGACGTCATAGCGATCCAATCTTCCCCATATTTAATATTTAGGTTTTTCTAATCAAAGAGAGAGGAGAAACGAAATTTTATCGAAATCGGATGAAATTTAATGTCTCCGCCCACAAGAGTAGAGGGCGTGGCAATTATTCCATCTTTCCAAATTTCTTAATTCTCTATTTCCAAGTAAAACTAGAGCAAATGTCAAGTTTCCGTGAAATCGGTGCAGGTGTACCTTTATTTCCACCTGCCTCCATATAGTCGAACCACTGTGCGACCCCAGCTGACTCAGCTAGTTGCTTAAGCACTGTGCTAAGTTCGCCTTTTAAACTGTTGTTGCTTTTTCCAATTTTTCATGTGAGCCAACTACAATCAAGCGCAGCTATTCCGCTGCAGTTCACACTTGATCATGTGGTTGTTGGTTTTAGTTACTAGCTCTATTTTTAGAATATTTAATTTTAGGTGTGCTCGTCCTTATATCATTTGTTTGATTGTTTTTTTTGCCTTATAACAATGGGCGCGCTTCTAAGACGTAGCTGTGGTTAAACTGTTAAGTGTTTGTCTTCGAAACGCACAGTTGAGTAGTTCCGCTCAGCTCAATAGTTGGCAACTTTCCGCCATTTTTTCAAGCGGAAAATTTTTACGCTACCTAAACTCAAGGTGTTGGACTTAGCCTAAACAGATGATCGTAAAGACTTACGCCGCTTGTATTAAATTAAACGCCGCTTTGTTAGGTGGCAGTTGCAAACAAATTTATTCTATTTTATATTTTTGATGTTATAAAGATACTAAAATATTTTATACTAATACCACGTTTCTAAATATATGTTTTTAAGATGTTTACTATATAACTATACACTGTTTAACTCATTATACCGTTGAAGGATTCTTTCAACATGGCGGCGGCTCAGCGTTGAATTCTAAATACTATCGGCGCAACTATCTCTAACTAGACTAACTACGTCTTATAAACGCGCCCAATTATACTTAACAATTTTATTGAGCTTAAGGCCATTTTTTAACGAAAACTATTGTGGAAAAATTAACAATAATTTATAAATAGTAGAAGTGATAACTATTACGGAAACCACCACATTTCCTCATCAGACATCTTCAGCGGGATTCGAAACGACGACCCCAGTTCACTCAGCCAGTTGCCTACGCACTGTGCTAAGATCGCCTTATAAACTAATGTTGCTTTTTCCACGTGTTCATGTATGCCAACTACAATCAAGCGCAGCTATTCCGCTGCAATTGTCACTTGATCATGTGGTTGTTGGTTTTCGTTATTAATTCTATTTGCAGTGCATAGGGAACTGGCTGAGTCAACTGGGGTCGTCGGTTCGAATCCCGCTGAAGAAGTCAGATGAGGAAATGTGGTGATTTCCGAAATACTTAGCTGTTACTTCTACCCTTTATAAATTATTGTTAATTTTTCCACAACAGTTTTCATTAAAAAAACAGCCCAAGCTCAATAAAATTGTTGAATATAATTGTTATAAGGCAAAAGTAACAAACAAACAAATAACTTAAGGACGAGCACACCTAAAAGTTAAATATTCTAAAAATATAATTAATAATGAAAACCAACAACCACGTGATCAAGTGTGAATTGCAGCGGAATAGCTGCGTTTGATTGTAGTTGGCTCACATGAAAAAGTGGAAAAAAAGCAACAACAGTTTAAAAGGCGAACTTAACACAGTGAGAAGGCAACGGGCTGAGTCAGCTGGGGTCGTCGGTTCGAAACCCGCTGAAGAAGTCTGATGAGAAAATGTGGTGATTTCCGAAATAGCATTCACTTCTAAGAGATAAGAGATAAGAGATCAGATAACAGGTAAGAGGAAAATAGCCAAAGTTGGTCAAAATGTCTTTTTTCCATCGAATCCAAAAAATTGCTTCTATGTTGTTTGAGAAGCTCTCCTACCATGAAATAAATAATAGATTAATGGGTTTGAAACCTACTTTTTTATTTAAAGTGGTGTTTTTATTTTTTCTCTCTGACCGCAGTTATGATTAATTCCAAAAATTATTAAATAAATTCAATGTAATGTAGAATAAAAATATAGGTATCAAATGCAATAGGAAATTTCTTTAGAATTTAAAAAATTTAAATTTTTTGGATTCACAAGGACGAATAGGTAATTTTTAAGCTGAAAAATTAAGAAGAACGAACTTTGAGGATGTTATCGAGTTTATATAAACCCTTAACATATAATTTTTTCAAAAACACATATTGCGAAATTTCAAGGATGAAATTTTAAAATGAAATTTTCAGTTTTTACCAGCCCTTCTGCACCAGAAACTTGAATAGGGTTAAATTCTACAGGCTTTCCTTATTAATTTTATACCCATACTTCTTCTCTAAGCACATTTCTCTGAATTATTTAAATCATTTTTGAATTACTGACGTAAGAGTTAAAAACTAAAAATGCAATTTTACAATATTCGGCTTATGGTTTCGCGAATATATTGATATTTATGTTTAAAATTTACTATCGCGCGGTGTTATATGTATAATGAACTTCATATTTATAAAAATTTTTAATTATTAAATAAAAACGAAATTAAGCCAATACTGGTCAAGAAAAGGAGTTTCTATTATTACCATCAGTGCAAATTACAAATCCCGAAAATCCCGGGATTCTTGGCAAGTACCTTAAAAAGTCCGGGAACAAAATATTAAAATCAAATAGAAACGTTATTGATCTTACTATAAACGTCATCGAAAGTACTGTATATTGGTAAATATTCAATTCAATTACGCGCTTATTAAAATGACCTCGTTCGTACTGAAAAAGCATCCGTGAAATGAATAATCAAGACAAAAACTAAAAAAAAAAATTAATTTGCATGTTGCCTGCAGTGTAATTCGAACCCGATCATCTCCGGATATCAACAACTTTTGGCAAGCATCTTTGCGCACTCAGCTACACACAGACATATAAATTTGCTTTCAAATGTTGAATATCCATCAACACCACAGCACGCGATTTGTACGGATAAACATGTATGTATCATGTATGTATGTGTGTGTTGTCACCGCTCACAGAGCGGCTCTCTGCATTCTTGGGGTGCGTATGTACACGTACATATACGTACTCAGATGTGAACAGTACTGTTTGACGTCAAATACGTGCGTAATAAATTTGGTATGAAAATATTATTTTTAAATACGCACATTTTTAAACGATAATCAAATATAAAGTATTCATTTTTACTATGCATTATTTCCCTCAGTGTACGTATTTACTCATACACTTTTATATATACATACATATGTAAAACTTACACACGCATTTTGATTTAAAACAATTTGTCAATATTTTATGCTTTTGAAGTGAAGCTTCTTAGGCGGCGGTATCGCAAAAATGGAGTGAAATCATATTAGGGATGTTGCGAATGTGGAATTTTAGACATCCGCGAATGCGGATGGGGATGCGAATGCGGATGTCAAGTATTTTTAAGAAATAATTTAGGTGAGTAAATTAGGTGATTTAGTTAAATAAAAATGGAAAGGTTAGTAATTTTGAATAATGTTGTTTTAGTACTTGAATTTAGAAATTGGAATAATGTATTTAATAAAAACTCTTTAAATGGTCGTAAATCAAACCTGCGCCACTAAATAACTACTGGCATCACGGCAAGATCTTTGTTTAAACGGTGACAGGTAACAAGATCAAAAGAAATTAGGTCAATTGACTTTATTTCCCACCATTTGAATAGACTTTATAAAATAGAAAATTTTAGTTGAGAAAAAGAAGTGAACCCAAAGGGTTTCACAAAAATGTATTGAAATTTTAGTTTTTATACAAAAGTGCCATTTTGACACTTTGTGCCAAATTGAAGAATTAAGTGCAATTTGAAGTAAAATAGGGACAAATTTGAGTCAAGTTGGCTTAACTGCTACCAATAACTTACAAATATAAAAATGTGAAATATCGAGGGCTTGAATTCATTAATTTGCAATTTGCACAAAAACTAATTTGTGATTTTAGAAACCATCTGGGACTTATTACCTGTCGTTATATAAGGTAGCATTAATATCACCCATGACAGGTAAAGCTTAGGTGGATTTTTATCAGAATCTCATCTTTGTGAAAAGTGTGCAAATATAGGGTATTATTGAATATAAGCCCTCGATGTTTAAAATATATAAAAATTTTATTTCAACGTATACAAAAAATAAATCTACCTCCGTTACAGCGCGGTAGCGCGTAGGCGTAGCGTGACGTGGTGTGCGCGCCGGTCGCGCGTGGTACGCGGTTCGTGACTTGTTTTTTTTTTTTTTTTTTTTTCGTAGGAGAGGGAAATGCTTTATGCACTGGCCGGGGGCGCTAGTCTCTATACTACCTTCCCCGAGTGTGGGACTCCCACCGAAGCGTGTTGGGCTACCCACTAAAACCCAATCTCCCACCGCTCGCGCAAGAATCCCGCATCTGGCACCGCAATTCTGCATGTCTTCAGATGCAGGAGCACGCTTTTAGAGCCTTGGGGCTGCTCTTTTGTAGGGGCGTTTCATTCGAGTGTCCTCAGTAGACAACCGTCCTCTCGTTTGCATCGGAGTAGGGATTTCACGTATCTCGCAACTGCTTCCCACTTTTCTGCGCTGGAGATCATTACCCCAACTATATTGTTCGGAGTTATGTCTCCGTGTCTTTCTTCCAACATTCTGCGCGAAATCAAGAAGTGTTCGCAGGTGAAGAATGTGTGGTACACGTTATCCTCGACGTTTCCACAGTAGTGACAGAGCGGTGAGTCCACCCTTCCCATTCTATGAAGATATTCTCGGAAGTAACCATGACCGGTGAGGAATTGCGTCAGGTAGAAATCGACTTCCCCATGTGGTCTGTTCAGCCATGTTTGAAGGTCGGCTATCAGGGAGGGCATCCATCGACCTTTTGTGCTCGCGTTCCAGTTTTGTTGCCACTGCTGAATCAGTTACTCGCGCGCCCTTGCCGCGGCAGCTGCTCGACCTATCTCGGCACTGAGATTGTAAATCTCTTTTCGCTCGTAAGCAAGTAGCTCAATTGGCATGACGCCAGAAATAACTAGAACCGCGTCCGCGGACACTGTACGGTATGCAGAAGCAATGCGTAGTGCCCCTCTGCGCTGTACCGAAGACATTTGAATCCGGTATTTTTTGATTTTAAATGCGTCAGCCCATATTTCTGCCCCGTGCAGGAGCACCGATTGGGCCGCTATCATCAGAAGCTTCCTGCGGCATGGCTTCGGGCCGCCCACGTTCGCCATCAGCCGTGCTCTGCGCAGCTTTTTCACATACTCCATGGATGTGTTCCCAGAATGTGAGTTTGCTGTCAAGCTTCACCCCTAGGTATTTTGTAGACCTAGAAGTCGTCACGGGTTGAGGTCCGACCATTATATTTATAATTGTTGGGATCCGTTTCCTGGTGAGGAGCACGATCTCCGTTTTGGCTGTAGCCAATTGCAGACCGTGATCGCTCATCCATCCACTGACGTTGCGCATGACCTGGTTTAGCTTGAGCTGTGCTAGCTGGACATTTCTTGCTGATATGACGGCTGCCACGTCGTCCGCGAAGGCGACAAGGAAGGCGCTCTCCGGCATTTCCGTGCGCAACAGACTGTCATACGTGGCGTTCCAGAGGTCCGGGCCAAGTACAGACCCCTGTGCCGCTCCGCCGGTTATACGTCTCTTTCTCTGACCTTGTGTTGTGTCGTACAAAAGCCAACGGTCTCTGAGGTAGTCCCGGATCATATCTAGCAAGTATGTTGGAACCTTGAATGGCCGTTCCAAGGCCTCTAGCATGTCGTCCCATCTTGCCGAGTTGAAGGCGTTCTTGACGTCCAGTGTGACTAGCAGCACTATTGGCCGCGCCTGGTGGCAGGCTTCTTCGGCCTTATGTACCGCCTCGACTACTTCGCCAATTGCTCCTATAGTTGAGTGTCCCTTCCTGAAGCCATGTTGTCGGGGTGAAAGGCCTCCCTCGCTTTCTATGGCTGACGTCAAGCGTATTTTGAGCAGACTCTCCATCATTTTGCCTGCTGTGTCTAGCATGCAGAGTGGCCGGAAGGATGAAGGAGAGTTTGGGTCCCCTTTTCCCTTGGGTATAAGCACCAGTCTCGCCTTCTTCCATTGGCTTGGGAAGACCCGGGCCCTAAGGCAGCTGTTGTGCATGTTAAGCAGAAGATCAGGGCTCGTTTCCGCTGCTAACCTGATTGCCTCCGCTGGTATGCCATCTGGGCCTGGAGCCTTGCCGGCTTTCATGCTTCGCAGGGCTAGCTTCAGCTCGTCTGTCGAAAACAGTGGTGCCTCGGCTTGCTTTTCGACGAACACTGTGTCGGCTCTTAGTGGGTGTGTGGGAAATAGCGCATCCACTATATTCCTAACTCGGGCCTCATCCATCGCTTGCGATGATGTATGGAACTTTTTCGTCACTATTTTGTATCCCTGGCCCCAGGGATCGCGATCCACTTCGCCACATAGCGCTTTCCAGCAGTTCCGTTTACTCTTCTGTATCTCGGCCCCAAGTGCTTTCTTAGTGCTTTTGTAGGCTGCTGCTTTGGTCAGCACCTCAGGTCTACCACGAGCGCGCGTTGCGAGTCTCCGCATTCTATGGCAGGCCCTTCGCAGCTCAGCAATTCGGTCATTCCACCAGTATACCTGCTTTTTACCTGACCATGCTCTCCTCTGTGGCATTGAGGCTTTGCATGCCCTGTGAATGCAGCGCATAGTTTCTTCGACCAGCTTAGTACAAGACTCCCTGTTGTGGATCTCTCGCGTTGTGGGCTAAATACCTTGGGAATCTGCTAGGAGTGACGTATCGAACTTGCGAACATCGACCTTAGACGGGTTCCATCCTGGTTTCCTGCGAGGGATACTACGTGTTTGCCCTCGCTTTATGTCAGTGACTTGGAAGGTGATGTAGTTGTGGTCGCTACCACTCAGGTCTTCCATCACTCTCCATCCGTCAGCCCTTCGAAGAAGGCTTTCTGAGACCAGGGTTATGTCAGGGATAGAGTATCCAAAACCCGGCCTTCGATATGTAGGGGTCGTTCCGGTGTTGAGGATGGTCAGGCCAATGCGGGCTGCCATTTCAAGGACCAGTCTTCCCCTGGTGTTTGTTTGGGGCATACCCCATTCCACGCCTCTTGCGTTGAAATCTCCAGCAACAATTATGTGGCCGGTTATGTCACGCAATTCGTTTTCAAGGTCTTCGAGCTTTTCCCTGAAGACAGGGACTGTGTCGTTTGGAGACAGGTAGCAGCTCACCAGAGTGATTTGCGCCATTTTAACCCAGACGTAGCAGCGTCCGACCCCGCTGTTCTCTGCGCGATGGTTGGGGTTAGCAATCCATATCGCGGTCGAGCCTGATTGGTCAACATGCCAGGTTTCCTTTGTTCTATAGGGTTCACTGATGATGACAGCGTCTGCTCTTTGTTCAAGAACCAATTGGTCCAGCAGGTCATCAGCTACCCTACTCCTGTTCATATTGCCTTGTATAAATTTAATCATATTCTCCCAAGCTTTGTCTTAGCCTCAGCAAGGGCATCCCTGAAGGCCTTGCATGCTCCCGACCCGGGAAGGTGATTGGCATTTTTCTGTCCATCTCCTGCCGAGCACAGGTAGCAGCTTGGGCTTTCTTTACATGCAGAGGCTATGTGGCCCTGCTGACCACATTTCCAGCATGAACTGCTTCTGTCTGGGCCTTTGCATGTCGCCTTTTTGTGGCCATACCCCAGACAAGGAAACACCGTTGGACATCCGCGCGCTATCGGACGCGGCAGATAATCCAACCTACTCGCAGCTTCCCCTTTTCAATAAGAGTCCGGCCTGTCAGTTCGTCGATTTCCACCACAGCCATTCTTTGTTCTCGCGAGTTTACAGCGAGGAGAGAGACGCGAAGTTGGTCATTCATCTTGTCTCCTAACTCCCCGCGTATAGCGTTCTCCACTTCTGGGGCCGTGGTTAGGCAGTCCATGCCCAGAACTTCTAGACGTAAACGTCTTGTGAGAATACGGGCGTCTCCAAGCTGGCCAATGGCAGTGCACACATTTTCCTTAAATGCTGAGTGGTCGCCACAGCGCTCTATTTCGATGAGCACGCCGCCTTCGCGGGTTTTCCGAACAGATCGAATTACGGTCTCCGTCCTCTCGGGTTGGAGCTTACCACGTATCGTTCCCAGCACCTCTGCATAGGTTTTGCCTTCAGCTGGCTTAATGATTAATTTGGCGAGACTCTTCTTTTTTCTCACCCTCTTCTTTTTTTCACCTGGCGCTGGCCCTGGCTTGGGCTTTCTGCTTTTTCCAACCGTTTTCCATTGATTATCTGGTACGATTTTCTGTGTATTAACATCTTTATTTACATTATTATTATAACCATTATTAGTAATAATCTTATTACTACTATTATTATTATAGTTAGTATTCTTTTTCTTTTCCGGCTCGCCTGTAGGGGAGTCAGATCGAGTTCGACCTCTCTTTTGCGTGCCAGGGCCAGCCTTCGCAAGTTCCCAAGCTTGCGGTGACATGCTTGTCGCTGTTTGCAGCAGCCGGCGTTTGAAGACGACTATCCCGGCTGCCGGGAGTTGCCGTTTGGCAAGGTGTAGCCTTCTGCGCCACGTCGGCGGCTTTCTCCGTGCTCGTGGTGCCGGCATTTGCCTGCAGAAGATTTTGTGGCGGGGAGCGCACGACTCTACTGCTCTTCCTGAATGCGCTGCATTCTTCCTCCATAACATCGACGTTGGTTTCATTTATTGGTTTTATTTTATTCATTTCCAATCAATTGGGTCTCCGCTTCAAGCCGCTATCTCCGCACGTAGCACAGTCGCTTTTAAGTGTCCCGAAGTTCCCTTCTCTCAAAGGAGCAGGCCATCGCGAGGGTTGACACAAGTCCTTATGGGATATTGTGTTCAGAGCCAAGACAGCGCAAAACCAGGAGTAAATCTCAACTGGACCTGTGAGGCCAAGTAAATGGCGACGTGTATTGAACATACTTGCAGACCTGCCAGGGTTTTAACGAGACGGAGGCAATTGCAGCATTAGCCCACCAGCCATTTCTGTGAGGTGTCACCCTCACATACTAAAGTGGCGGAATACTGCTCTCGCCAGCCCAATATCAGACTAATCGTATACATGCTCCAGTATGCCATGAACAGGGTCTAACTGGTCTCAATCCTGGGATGCTTTTTGGGAGGCGGCATCTGTTCGCCCGGACACAGGAGATTCATCAAGCATTTCTGATCTTTTAAATCAGGCCCTCGTCTCCTGCCGCTCTTGGTCTGGGACTGCTTATTGGTTATTCGCAGCTAACCTACCGGAGTAGGCCGTTCACGATCCGTCCTGTGTGACCCCGGTAAGGTCCTGAGCTTAGCCCTCGGTTCGTGACTTAAGTCTTTCGTTTATTCATTCAGCTTTTGTGAATATTTTAAAAGTTACTCTCCGACTTTGTTTATTTGTTTTTAAAAAATCAAATTTATTAACAAAAAGGACAAAATTAATTTAAAATTTATCAGCAAATTAATTTATAATTAATTAGAGATTTAACAATCTACCATTTTCAATGCAATAAAATTTTAAAACCAAAATATTTAAAAGAAATTTAGAATCATTAACTGCAATTAATATAAATAATTTTACATTAATATAATTAATTTTTATTAACATTTATTTAAACTTTAAATATTTTTTTTTTGTCTATAAATATATACATATTATTACTTATATTTATTTTGTACACTTCTTCTACAGTTTATTTCAAAATGCAAAGATCACCAAGACGAACACGCAATTTCACAACAACAACAGAAAATCAACATGAAAATCCAATACACACATCACAAAGTATACAATCTAATAACTTTCCAAATGAAAATAACTTAAGTGCGAATTTATCAAAATCTGTTAAATTGCCTTATTTTGTGGAAGATTGTTCTGAAGCATGGTTTCTCCTTGTGGAGGGACAGTTCGAAATTAACAATATACGTGAAGATAAAATCAAATTTCAAAATATTCTAGTTTTTCTTCAAAAAGAATCAAATTCTAAAATTATTGATGTTATTAATCCCCCTCATTTGATTAACAAATATAAAACAATTAAGAAAGTTTTATATGAAAGATTTTCTCTTAGCGAAGAGAAAAGATTAGAACAATTATTTTCAAATACCGAACTAGGTGATCGGTCACCATCAGAACTTTATAGACATATGAAATCTTTAGCGGGTTCCAAATCAATTGTTAGTAAAGAACCTTTATTTAAATTATGGAGTAGGAAGTTACCGCAACAAATACAAATTCATATAACTTCTTGTAGTAATCAAAGTACTGAAGAAATTATTTCTCTTGCAGATAAATTATTTGATATGATAAATAAACCTCAATCGTCTAAAGCTTTTAATGTCGCTAGCGTAGAAAATAATAATAATATTCTTGAACAGTGCATTAGAAATTAACTGAGTTAACTACAGCCATTTACCAAAATCTTAACACAATTACAGAAGATATTAATGAATTACAAATTAGATCAAGATCTAGAGATAGAAGTCGTTCTAAATCAAGAAAGTTTTCTAGATCTAGAAACGATATTAACCAAAATATTTGTTGGTATCATAGAAAATTTAAAAATAATGCTTTTAAATGCATTTAACCATGTAATTTTAACAAAAATAGAAATGACGAAAATTCTAATGTTTTAAACTAGACCGTTCCATTATGACGGGGGCTAATAATGGAAATGAAGTTAAGCCATCTCGCCGCCTATTTATGATAAATCCAATAAATTAAATTTTTTTTATCGATACTGGTGCAATCGTTTCGGTTATTCCTTCTTCAAAATTCAAATCACATAAAATAAATTCAGATCTTAATTTGACTGCAGCTAACGGTTCTTCTATTAAAACTTATAGTACAAAACTTTTAAAAATTAATCTAGGTTTAAGACGCGATTTTGAATCCCCTTTTATATTAGCGGATATTTCAACACCAATCATAGGCGCTAACTTTTTAGAGAAATTTGGTATATTAGTTGATATTAAAAATAGAGAAACTACTGATTCAACAACACAATTGAAAGTTTCTGGATCATCTGGTTTTTGCGACATATTTTCGACATATTTTCAATAAGGAAAATAAATTTTCTAAACTTTTAAATGATTTTCCTTCAATTACTTGTGAACCAGATTACACTAAACCAGTGCAACACCAAACGGTCCACAGAATTGAAACAAAAGGAGTGCTACCTTTCTCTAAACCTTGTCGTCTTGCTCCAATTAAATTTAAAATAGCAAAAACAGAATTTGAATTTTTAGTTA